AACTTAAAGGTGTTACCTTGTTCTTAATCTTTGCAAATAATAAGGTATTTGGCTGGCACCTTTATAGCTGACAATCTCCAAGACTTGAAATATCCTCATAATTGTGTTTAAAATATGATAGAAGTAGTTTTATCAAACATCCAAGGAATCCAATGACAAATGGAAAGGATACAGCAGACATATGTAAAGATTAACTCACTCCAAGTTGCAAAGGCTATTCACCACAGCAACAAGCAGAATTATTATAGCACATTGTTTCTTCTTATGCACATCTCATTACACTCAACATTTCCTGTAAGTATGGGGATCTGCTGAAAATCTTGTCCATTAACCTCAAAAATTTAATGCTTGTCAAATTGCAACACAAAATATTTTAAAAGACCATAGTTTTCCTTAGCTTCTCTAGTCTTAGAACTAAAATATTAAGGTGATACAATCCTGAGTCCCCATTAAAAATTAAAAATTACATTCAAAATGACAGGTTAACTAGCTACATTAGGAACCAAACATTAGGAACATTAGGAACCGCTTGCAACGGTTTCATTATAGCATTGTGCCATTTAGCTCTAATTAAAAAAAGTCCTGTTGATAATTCTTTTTCCTTAGGTAACTTTCCCTGAACACATCCCATCTCTTTTATACCAGCTTCAAATCCAGTTTAAAATTGGCTCCAGTTTATTTCCAAGTAACTTCCTAAGAAAAGCCCAATCCCTAAATCCTTGCTGTTTAAACAAGTCACATCACTGACCCTAGCACGATGACTCATGCCATAAAATTTGTTCTGAATTTGTCGAATCCTCCCTCCCCCTTCTCCGTTTTTTAAAGAAATTTTAAACGACAGAGAAGAACTAACGTGTCTCTATCTGTTCTCTGGCATCCACCAGAACACCAAACAAAAGAGGCCGACTACCTGGCAAATACCCTTTGTACTTCCCGATGGAAGTGAGATAGCCAATATCTCTAAGTTAGAGATAGCAAATGTTTCTAAATGGGGAGGGAACAATTTTCTCCTCTAGTAGGTACAACAGGAACGTTAGTATTTGAAAATTGAAGAGAGCGATCTATTGATGTAAACAGCATGTGAAATGAGCCAGCTTTGTCTCAGGGATTAAGCAGAAAGAATGCACAGATCCATCTGGTTGTTTCAGTAGAATTAACCCATCTCAGTGTACACACCCAGTCACTGTGGAGACTTCGGGACCCTCCTTCAGTAAAAAAATATAATTTTTTAAAATTAATGTAGCTGTCTTTGAAACCTCAAAGAGGATCTTTTGTCCCATCCTCGTGGTACTACGTGGTTTTATACTTCATCTGTTGATTTTATAAATAACATCTCTTTCAGTTTTAGATTCTTAATAAATACTTGAGTGCTTAATACCAACCTAATTTAAATCTAAACCAAGTAATACAAATGCAAGGGAAAAAAGTTTGTGTGCAATTAAATTATAAAGGAATATGGTTTTTTTTTCTTTCCAACTTTTTTTTTTTTTTTTTTTTTTTAGGATTATACTTTCCCTCTTTTCTATGGCCTCGACTAGTATCAAAACAGACTCAGTTTAGCTATTTGTGCAGCCTGCAGCAGGGTGTAGCTGGGTTAGCACATCTTCTCCAGAGTTTACAGAGCCTTGTCATGGGGCTGGCAGTTTGCTGATGCTCCCTACCAATATCTGCATGTTCTCCAGCACAGGAAAGGCCTGAGAAGGGACAGGGAGCTGTGGCAATCCTGTCACAACTGGCATGTGTGTTCCAAACTACAGCTCTAAATCTGGCTTTGGTAAGCATGGCCAGAGCTGCCTGCTCTCTGCACTCGGCCTTGGTGGTGTTCTGGGGTGTGTGGCATGCTGCTGAAAGCACTTTTTGGCACTGACCAGGATAAAAGGAAAGGAAATCAAAGTAGAAATTTCAGAAGTTATGGTGAAATAGTTTTATTTCCTGTAAACTCAGCAAAGTGAATTTGTTCTGCATTTTTGCAATAATTCACATAACAGTGTTTGGGATTTGTTGTTTCCAGTTTATTATACTTGACAATAAATGTCAATTCACTGACAAATAACATTTCCAATGCTGAAGCCACAAAGATGACTAGTCTGTCAAAAATATGAGGGTAGAATTGCAAACCTTCACTAAGTACAGTAGAGCAAACTTTTCAGCTACTCTGGGAAATGATTCCCTCAAAATTAATAATCAGATGTACCTAACAACACCAAAGAAACACAAGAATGTTTAATCACTGAAATCTATGGACTTTCTCTTTTATTACACCTTCAAAGTAAGACAAAATGCCCCTTGAAAAGTATCCTATAAGTAAGTGCAAGTCACTGACCTCTATTCAGAGAAACAAGATAATATTTAATGTCCAGACTAGATGATGAAGGTCTTCTGGCTTTAAATTATTAAAACTGGAACTATATTCAGCTTCTTAAATGCTCTAAAGACTCCTCTCTTTGTCAAGAGAAATAACCTGTTTTAAAAAGTCAGGTCAAGGATGCTGTCCTGGATTAGAAATGGAATCTCTAAATGACCCCCAAAAAGGTCTGGGCAGGGAGTTGTCTTCATGAGCTATTCCACATTCAGGTCCAAGTCTGTTGAGATGGCCCAGGCTGGTACAGCTACCCATGACAGTCAACGGGGCTGGCAGCGAGTGGGAGCTGCTGCCACACATGAAGCTGGAAGAATATCACTTAATAAAAAGACATATCAATTATTTTTGGCAATAGAGGAAGAAAAGTAAGCCAGCTCCCTGTCCTCTGCCCATGATGTCACAGTGCAGGCGGTCCTCACTGGAGTGTGTGGTGTCTGACCCCATCTGGCCAGCAAGGTGAGTCTAACATGGGAAATGCAGCAGCAGCGCCTGGCGCTGACAGCCCGAGCCTCTGCTGTGCATGCACTGCCCTCTGCAGTCTCCGCCGCGCAGCAGCGCCCATCGCTCCAGCCCTGGGCTTGTCTGCACGCCCAAACACGGGCCTGGCTGTGACCTTCGGTGCTGGCGCGGGGACAAGGTGGGCTCTCCTTGTGCGGGGCAGCCCCAGGCCCTCCTACCACAAAGCTCGGACCGTCTCAGGGTCTCAGCACCACCTTTGGACACGGTATTACAGGGAGACAGAAACAATTGTGTACAATGTTCTAAAGAGGAAGAAATAAACTA